CCTACTAATAATATTAGTATGGTAATAATAAAGATATTTAAATATCAATTTTAATAACTAATTAGTGATAATATTGAAGGTGATAATAGCAATAATACAACAATAATAAATTAAAGATAATGTTTATTTTTATAATAATAGTAATACTAATTAGTAATAATAAATAATAATGATACTTATAATAGGCCTACTTAGTAATAATAACGACAATAATATTAATAATAATATGAGAAAAATACCAATAAAACACCAATAACAATAACTTTTTAAATTACTGTTATTAAAATAATAATACTAAGACTAATGAATAATAATAATAATAATAAGAATAATAATAATAATAATAATAATAATAAATCGAAAATTATTTATTATTTATATGGTACTGTAATAATAATAATATCAGCAAAAATTTGAACAATATATAATGTTAATGCCAAGACTAATAATTAATATTAAAACTAACGGTAATAAAAACAACAATAATAATAACAATGACAATAATAACAGCAATTATAATAACAATAAGTATAGTAATACTTAAATTAGTATTTTATACTTGATGAATTACTCCTTCAAAGTGTAGTACCAGTAAATGACTCGTGGCCGAGTTGACCGTAGCCAAATTTGTTGTGGCCGAGTTGACTCTGGCCGAGTTGACTTGTGGCCGAGTTGGATCGAATTCCTTTGGCAGTGGTAGGCAGACCATTGATTGATGCTGTTATGCCAGTTGTGTAGCCTCTAGTAGTAGGCCTAGAAACGAGGCGCTAGTCTAGGCATTACTACTTTAGCTTAGAACAAGACCATTAAAGGAGAATCATATCATGTTTTTAAACGATAAATATACTGTAAATTACCAAGAAGGGAATTCACTGTTACTGTTAGCCTACTTACTTTTAATTCAGAATTCTCAAACCACATGTTTGTCGTCAGTCAGTAATCATGTTTGTTTGTTGTCCTACGCCATGACTAAAACAGCAAATATGCGGTCCAGATCGGTTTGGCAATTACCTCCAGAACACACACAACACTGATGATTCTTATCACACCTCTGAGCTATCAAAACGTCGTAATCAATATGATTACTATCATTATTTAACAGATACATATTTTATAATGTTTTAACTACATGTTATATTGATATAGCATTAAAAAATTACAGTATATAATAATGTGTTGAGATTGAACTGGAAATGGACTAGGGCTACATTTTCCTCACCAAGTAAACAGACACATTATTGTTTCTATATAAAACCATTGGTTGGAATTTATTTGTTTCCATGGTAAAGTCTGTAAAAAATGAGACTGAATTTTTCCGATGGCTGCTCCATAGCTTCCCATATACACAGTTTTTCTGAGGTCCTGTGTCAGCGGATCCACCCCGCTAGACACCGCCACTATGTCCCATTGAAAGCTGATTTTATTACTGATCTTTTAAAACAAGCTGGGGGAGAAAGGGCATAATCACCCTTTTTCCCCCCCCCCCCCCCCCCCCATCCAGTTTTTTAAATATTAAAAAATACAATTTTTGTGTCTTAGAAAAATGTATTTATTGTACGACGACATATCAAAAATTTGATTACTCTGGAACATGGCTTTAAAGGTGTAGTGTTCTAATTAAATTCCAGGTCGTACCAGCAGCAGTGTATTCTTAAAATATTTTTTTAACAAAGTAAGACTTTATAACATCAAACAAAGAACAAAAAACATTTGATCTATATTACTTTTATTCATATACTACACTCTCACTAGTCTATATAAAGCCTGATATATAAATGACTAATCCATGAAGTCGTTTTATGTCTATCTACTGTATATTGTTCTAATTAAATTCCAGGTCGTACCAGCGGCAGTGTATTCTTAAAATATTTTTTTAACAAAGTAAGACTTTATAACATCAAACAAAGAACAAAAAACATTTGATCTATATTACTTTTATTCATATACTACACTCTCACTAGTCTATATAAAGCCTGATATATAAATGACTAATCCATGAAGTCGTTTTATGTCTATCTATCTTTGATAAAAACTTAATATAACTGTTAATGTAATTTTTAAGATGTCCAATTATAAACTTACATCTTAAATAATTGTAGGTTTAAGTTTCAACAAAATTTAAATAATTGATCACATAAAAATTCATAAAATTAGTACAATGGAACTCTCAAGATTCAATCATTTGTAATTGGAATGTGGAAAACCAGAGTTTACAAAACTGACTTGGAATTAATATATTTAAATGATATTGAATTCTGAATATTATATTTAACTATAAATGTATCAAACTTTCATTCACTTCTCTGATAAAAATGTGTACATTGTCATGGATTTAAGGAAATAATTTTGTTTACTAAATTTTGGTTTAAAATACTTTCAGAGCATACCAGTGTTTATTATTTATTGAATCTATGTTGGTGTCAGCAACTCAATTCACTCAATGATGAGGCTGAATCTAAATAAACTGAAAAACAAAGTTGACTAACATCACCAACATCTATTGAAAAGTTAGTAGGAAAGGAGTGCTTATATGAGCCTCTTATAACTAGTAAATTGCAATAAAAAATGTTTAATCTGAATAAAATACTTCATATTTTTTAAAATCAAATAAAAATTTGATAAAAAATACTTCATAAAATGTTTCTTGCTATCACCAACACAATTTGTTCACATACAGTTAAAATTCACACTGAGTGCGATATATTTTATTACATGACATTTAATATTTTGAATTTTTAAACAATGAAATTTAAAATCTAGAAAATTGCAAACAAAAAATTAGGATTTGCTAAAGCGCATACTTCCTAAAAACATGTATTCTTAATAATTGCTAAAATCGCAACAACTAATAAAATGCAACTGAATTTATTGGAAACGAATCTGAGTGATGGTGACAGCCCCAGCAACCATCAAGGTGTTGACCGTCTGGTATGGAAATCGATGTTTGAACTCCAACAAATGTTGACCGTTGACAGCGACGCGGTATGCATCCATTTGGCATAAGATAATTACCTGCAAGAAAAAAGAAACAGGAAAATAAAACTTATAGAAATGGTTTTCTAGATAGGCAGATAGCAGAGGGATCAAGTAGTTTAGAAAGAACCAGACTTAGAGGGAACCAGTAGTAGACATACAGGGAACCAGTAGTAGACTTAGTAGGGAACCAGTAGCAGGCTCGGAGGGAACCCATAGTAGACTCAAAGGAAACCAGCAGTAATCAGGCGGAACCAGTAGTACATGCAGAGCCGGTGTAGTATTTTCCTTGTTCAAATTATCCAAGTCATGCGGTAAATGTATATACATACATCCGAATGCGAAGAGCATTATGATTAAGCCAAGGTAAGGTTATCTTTCTTTTGGTCAAACTGAATTAAATGCGAACATGGCTTTAGAGGGTGCAAGTAAAAAATTCAGCAAGAACCAGCCAAAGTTTTCTAGTTACTTAACACACAATAATACTCAATAAACTTTATTTGTCATATATAGTGTACAATACACATACAATGAAATTAGATTTGGTTCCTTAACAAAAACAAACATAAAATACAGAAATATCAAACTAGTGACTTGTTCAATGCCCTAATGGTGGAGGGATAGAAAGAGATCCACCCCTCCCAGTCACTAGTGATCGATATTGGCGACCACTCCGCATCTGCATGGATTTCTGTCCATTGCCTTTTTAAATATAAGGTCATACCTTTACCGAAGGCTGCTCGATTCTGATGATGTGTGAGGCAGACTTAACTAATATTGAGGTCCGTCTTCTCATCTGTGCTGTACCCATACCAGATAATAACAGAGAGCGTTAAAACACTCTCTATTACTGACCTATAGCATTGACCCATCACAGGGGGACTAATCCTGAAGAACCTCAATCTACGCAGAAAATAAAGTCGCTGCTGGTCCTTTTTCATACACTGATGATGTTTTCCCCCTATTTAAAGTCATTTGTAATATACAGTATGTACCCAAAAATTTGAAAGAATTAACTATTAGGTTCTTTTGAGGTTGAGGATGGTGGCATATGCTACTTAACTACTGTAAGACCAAATGTTAAAATTACTTGTTTTTACCTCAAAGAATCCATTATCAACAAATGGAAAGAATTGAGCATGCTTCTCCTCTCCACCCCATTTCTGGTTTGTCAGAGCATTGGTCACGATCGTCCGTGCTTTGAACCGGGGATTGAAATGAAGAGCAATGTTCGGCCGAGGACCTGCTCCTTCAGGACCACACTGCAAGTTGATGTGGAATCTAAAAAACAATAAACAAACAAAGTTTTACTTTGTCATTATCTTTCATATTCGGGGACTGCTCCGGAATTAAAATTCCCAGTCCTCCATATATACCGGCAACATAAATGAATACAAGTGATGTACATTTAAATAATAACAATTGCAATAATATTCTTTATTATATTCCTATCTATGTTTATGGGGTCATGGTAGAAGCATCCTCTTCGCAGACCTGGATAACGCTAATTCTACCACCAGTACACACATGATCAAGTCAGCATCTACTTGTATCATCATTTTCATCATGCTATCTGACAGACCTGGTAGATTACAATGATTGTGCTAGAAACTGTGTCCAACTCTGGCTGAAACAAAGTATCTAGCAAGTGTGTGGACACGATAAGAAGAAATTATATCTATAAAAAAAAGATGATAACATATCCATCATATCATTTGTTTGTTTTTTATGTTTGACCTCCAAAACAGACAAACTTTGAATTATTAATTGGTGAAAGCTAATGATGATGTACAATACATAATTTGTTTTGTCCTCAATTCAAACGATTTATTCTTATACTTACCTATCAGCTCCTGGTTTCACAATGCCGGAAACGAATACAAGTCGACCAGGTACCATTCCACCTTGGATACCGCCAGTATATGGCACTGGCTACAAAAATGAAAATGAATATGCACTTTATCTTTGTGAATAATTTAGTTAGATCAATATTTTATTGCTTTTCAATACTAACAGTACGCAAATAATAAATACAGATGTTACAGATATACATGTAATTAGTACAATACATGGATAACACTTTTAATAAAAATATTAAATGCACTTGAATGTTATTGATGTTTGTTCTTTATACTGTAAAATGAATATCAATGCAATATTAAACATAAGTAAAACTACCATAAAAAATTTAAGCCCTTCTTTTTGCAAACTTTAGATGGGCTTCTATTCAAGATTTGCTTCTTTTTGAGGCTACTTTTGCAAAGTAAAGAGGGGGCTTCTTTTCAAAATGAATGCTGAATTTTGGGAATTACTCCTATATAACAATAAATAGGGCCACTGTAACATCAATCTGTATCATGGAGTGTATTAACTGGTATTAAATCACCTAAACTACTCTATAAACCAAGCATGTTTTTAATTATTTTGTTTCTTTGAAATGCATGTACAGTGTACTGTACTATCTCGAAAAAAGCCAATGCTATCTTGAAGATGGGCTTCTTTTCGAGGGTACTTTCGCAAACTAAAGAGGGAGCTTCAACTCGAGATGGGCTTCTTCTCGAGATTAAGCCCATTGGCTTCTATTCGAGGTTTTGCGGTATAATACGGTGGCTATTAATAAGCAATTTACAAAAATATGATTTTGATATATAATCAATAATCATTAGATTATTATTATCATTAAATATAATCATGAAGTACTTACTGGGTTAAAGATTGGTCCCATTGCATGGGCATGTGCCTGAAAAGCAAAAGAATATCAGTATAACATTTAATGATACAGTTTTTGCTGATTTACAATTACACTTAAAAAAATTGTTGTTGATTATCAGCCAATGTAGGGGCATGCCATATAGGAATGGAAGAGTTCTCAAGTCCTAGGGAACCCTGTACGGAACGTCTGAAGTTGCTTCAAAAATTATGATTAGAAATCACTCCTTACGTCTTTCGCAAGACTCCCCTGTATATACTGCATTCTGGATGTTATACAAAAACTGCAAAACCATAGGCAAAACTAAGTTTAAATCTTGATTATAAACAGACAAATCAACACATGGTTAGAACAAAGGAACAGAGGCAGATTTCTCAAGTTCTACAGAACTATGGAAATTTAATCATTAGGCTTGATTAACCATGTAACCTCAATTATGACCTATATTTACTACTATTGAGGGTGCTGTTCAAATTAACTATATCCCACTGCAACAATAACTGCATAGATAGCAAAATAGTATGATGGTCAAATACCTACCTGTGGTTCCCCTCCGCTAAATCGAATTGAGTAAATCTGTACTTTTCCATCAATGGCAAGGGTATCGATACGATTCAGCTGCTGAATCCTGTGCTTGTATTCGATGAAGTGCTGCCCATTTACTGCCACCTGAAATGAATATAATAATAATAATAATAAAAAAAATAATAATAATAATATAGTGTGTATTCACTAAGGCCTCAAGGTGCATCACATAACCAAAGAGATCATTGGTGGATCTGTATCGCGGAAGCATGGTGCTCTTAAATTTCATAGGGGCAGGGGGGGTGGGAGGCACCCCCTTGAATCTGCCTATGTCATACCCCATTTTCCGGCCACTGGAATATGGGGTATATGGGCTGGCGATGCGCAGAATGGACCTTCCTGGAGCGTCAATCAAATGTGTTTGAAAATAGTGAGAATGACTTTTTCCGTGATCGATGCTATATACAATGCATCGAGTCATAGAAAAATATAATGGGCCATGCTAGTCTAACAGAATAATTAAAACACAGAGGAACATGGTACATAAAAGACTAATTTTATTGACAATAGCTTCCAAGAACAAAGCATCCGTTTCAGGTCAAAGTGGCTCCACACCTAAAAAAAGAGCACTTCATGCTAAAGACATAACATTCTGTCATGAAACTAGTCTTTATAGCAGGCCTACTACAATCATCTATGGCTGAAATATTATCCTTTCCTTTTAGAACCTCTTTCTACATTTCTGTACTACTTGTAAAACTAAGAACAATTCCAGCAATCTAAACTGTTTTTTAAACCCATCTACTGTATCCATTGTTACTTACAAACCTCCGGGCAATAAAAATACATTTGATTATATTCATGCATATAAAGCAGAACACAAGCTCCAGGATACATTATAGGCTTGTGTGGTTCTGTTGTTTGCTTTTTTTTGGAGTGGGAATTACTCTGAATCTATATAGAGGCTATTTAATGAATGATAATAATGGTAGTCGTACTGTATATGCTAAGCCCATTATGCGATATGGGAGTATTCCATAATGCTGCAGCTGTAGTGCATTTGGCATTCTAACTCTAACCAGGTAGAATCTAATACATTTTATAAATTACCATGCTCAAGGACTGAACCGAACCGTACAGTGAGGGATTGAAACTCTGACTTTGAGGTTGGAAACCTTTCCCACTGCACAAAATCACTTCTATACTTCCAGAATTGATTCTTTTTAAAACGCCTTGAGAAGATGTTTATTGGCCTTCAATTAATCCATCAATGGATTTATAAGGATTTATAATAATGCATTTATAAGACTATTACCCATAAACTGATACTAATATAAAAAAATAAATAAAATAAAAATGTTTACCTTAAACTGGTGTGGCTCACACAAAATAATAATTTGGAAGTGTTGGCCATGAGCAAATGGGAAATAGCTTCCCTGGGTCTCCTCTTTACCCCAGCTTTGACGAGTCAGAGTATTGCGGACAACTTTCAGTGCCTGGAATCTGGGGTTAAAGTGCAAGGCAATGTCTGCTCTCGGATTTGTGCTTGTACCACACTGCAAGTTGATATGGAACCTTAAAAATAATAGAAAATATAATCATTAATAAAAAATATGTTAAGTACGACACTTTAAAATTGACTGATTTTTTCTTTTGTATAAGCATGACTATGTATATAAATACTTCTTAGAATCTAGCAAAATTTTCCTTCATCTATCACTATTTTGCAATTTAATGACGAGGACATAATTCAACGAACAGACATATAAAATGGGGTATTAATAATTAATATGAAATGCATAGAGGCTAACATTATGCACCAGTGCAGTTTTAATAACAAATATAGAACATAAGGCCAAGCTAAAAGATAATATAGTTTGTTGTGCCTAGCTGCCTCCTTAATAGTTTTTTATATTTTCAGCACAACAAGAATAGCTAATTACTATAACAGTGGTAGATATTCATATTCCAAAATACTTTGGCCTGTATACATTAGATTTGATGTATCTTCCAGCATAACAGCATGACCTGATATAAGCTGACAGCAAAAAGAGTTTCCTGTTTCTCCTTTCCATAAATTTTGGATTTTCTTTTTAATAGACTTTTTAATAAAAGAACTATGCGATTTAAAGTTATTATAGTATGCTAAACATGAGCTAAGTAGAATTAATATTTTGACTAAAGAAATTAAAGATAGTCCTAATGTGCTAAAAATGAAAAGGTATAAAATTATTGTACTGAAAAGTTCAGCACTGAGAATAAATATGGAGGAGTCTTCATATCTCATTACAAATTTCAGCACTGAGAATAAACATGGAGGAGTGTCTCGTATCTCATTACAAATTTGACATTGTCACTCCAAATCAGAAATAAAATATCTTAAAAATTTGGAGCTGATAAAGATAGAATTGGTGGTATGGAACCTTGTAAATTTAGATACAGTACTATGGCAAGAATTAACCCCAAATGGAGGACATGAATATATTTATAACCTTTGTACTGTTGAGTACCCTTCAGAAGTTTATCAAGGTGGGAGTGAACACTTATTAGTTATCAACTCTCAATAAAGATAGCATTTATTGAAAGGATAAGGAAAACCAACTCAATGGCATTACTCATTCAATACAGTCATAAAATTAAATATATTAGCAACTACAACAATAGGGCTAGATACCTATCCCTCATCACATCACCTTGCTTGGCACTATCCTATGTACAAGAATTGTTTTCAGCATTCCCATTAAACAAGAATACCTTTCCAACACCAGTAGCACTGTACATAAGAATTATGTCTACATAACATACCCATAGGATGCCACTGAAAATGTGTTTACTTTCTTGGGTCAATCCTGTATCCAAATATTCTTTTTTAATTTTTGTTTGTTTAAAAGATGTATCGTTCCATGCAAAATTCCAAAAGTCATAAAAATCATTTTTGAAACTAACTTGCCCACTTTGAAGTAATATAAAAATTATCAACTTGAACATAGAAATTAGTGTATTTAAAAAATGTTTACACATAAGTTTACACCAAAAAATTATAGAAACACTTTCAGTCACTGAACAATTGTAGTATGCATGTGCATTCCAAATACCAGGTGGAAAGAGTTATATATTATGTGCAAGGAACAAATGGGCGGGCCAAATAACGAACAGTAAATACAATGCTGATATCTATGGAGTGTATGTGATATACTGTGACATGTTAAAATCTGAGTAATAAACCCTAAAACAATTAAATTAAAATATTTAAATCAATTCAAAGCAGTTTTTGTTTATTTACAGACTTTTGACTACAAAATACCCTTGGACCTCAGGGAAGAACAGCGCAACAATACTGACTATCCGGAATAAAGAAAGATTTATATTCTATTCTATGCAAACAAAATTTATGCAATCTTCAATAAAAATAACTGTTTAAAATATACAAAACAAGCTGTTGAAGTCTGTAGTGTATACACAACTAACTTTACTAGTGTGTTGTTTATACACAGCTCTCTGTGTAAAATCACACTTGGTAAACAGATCACAGAATTGTGAACTAGCCTAGAAAAGAGAAATACATTTGTTAATCATAGATGACTGTTATGTGCATATTACAAGCCCAAGCCCTACATCAACCTAGCATGAACACAACAAAGTTGAAGCACTCAATACAAACAGTTGCATATAGAAATATGGACATGATGTTTGGGAAGGGGTCCAAAATTTAAGTGGATGGGCTCAATATTTTAAGTGAAGGGGAGGGAGGCCTGGGGGGAAAATAAAGTGATATCAGGTGTTTTTTCCAGTGGGGATACCTAGGGTAAGCAATCTTTTTTTCAAAGGTGGACATGTCCCGTTTCTAAACACAGTATATTATGAACAAAATTGATTACCTATCTGCTCCAATTGGTACACTGCCCTGGATGAAAATCATTTTGTTAGGAAACATTTGTCCTTGAATGTTTCCCACATATGGAACCGGCTGAAAACAAATTTAAATCAATGAAAAAATGTCAATTTTTAACCATATGAGGGGCATGTTTAGCCAACTTCAGCTGAGGGTAAGCTCCTGCTATAGAGTACTACAGTGTTACCGCATGACACTACTCTGTTCCTATTGGCAACACAAAATGAGTTCAACCGGACCTTGTCTCCACTGACAAACCATTGATCCCAATTTCCATTGTAATTATTAAGATTTTATATCTTAATTTTTCTTTTAAAATTTTAATTGATGATTAAATGTGTGTTCGATAACTAATATAATGCGGGCTTTTGTGTTTTTATTACATTCTTCTGATAGTAAAATATTAGGTTTTAAAATGCCTATTCCAGATAGCCTATGAAGTCATTCAGGCGTAATGAACGGTAACCAACGTATGCTTAACAACAGAGGGCGTCGCCTGGTGTTGTGACGACATGACTGTGGTACTCTATTCACAGGTTCTGATATGCTCAGGTCATATTAAAATTAGCTCATTCAATGTTTGTGTCATATTATGCTCTGCTCATTCAATGCTTGGGTCATATTATGCTTAGCTCATTCAATGCTCAGGTCATATTATGCTTACCTCATTCAATGCTCAGGTCATATTATGCTTAGCTCATTCAATGCTTAGGTCATGTTATGCTTAGCTCATTCAATGCTCATGTCATATTATGCTTAGCTCATTCAATGCTCAGTCATAATATTATGCTTAGCTCATTCAATGCTCAGGTCATGTTATGCTTAGCTCATTCAATGCTCTGGTCATGTTATGCTTAGCTCATTCAATGCTCAGTCATATTATGCTTAGCTCATTCAATGCTCAGGTCATGTTAGGCTTAGCTTATTCAATGCTCAGTCATATTATGCTTAGCTCATTCAATGCTCAGTCATATGCTTTAATAGCTCATTCAATCCCCAGGTTGTATTATCTTAGGCTCTGTCCACATCAAATTTCAGTGACAAAAAACTGTTGTATGTCCATATATAGTCATACTGTGCCTATGGTCAGGATGTGATGTCATATTTAGGTATGTCACATGTTTTTGTCAAATAAAAGTTGTTAGTCTAGACAGGGCTTTAGCCAGCCAAGCTCATTATTATGCTATGTACTATCTCAACTCATGTTACACAAAGCCATGCTGAACTTACGTACAGTACTATACCCAGCTAATATTATGCTCAGGTCATGTTATTGACATGTCAATCATACACAAATGTTCCGGATTTTTACATTTTCAAAATTCTAACAGCAAGATTAAATAAAATTGTCACACATAATGCAAATGTAAAGTGCAAGTAATTTATTCTTACCGGATTCACAATGGGAAACTGCTGACCAGGCATTGGATAATAACTTGCCATTTTAACTGTGAAAATAATTTTAACAATTTAGTACAAGCACACTAAGTCCTGAGTCAATCGGTCAGTCAGGCAGGTCTGTCTGACAATCAGTTGGATCAGTCATAAATTTAAACAAATAAATACATAAATCTGGGGTGCAGCCAGTGGGGGAAGGAGGTGCCTGTCAGGAATAAACTAAAGCTAGTATAAACAATCAAACTAAATATGAAACTACAAAATAAGTAAAACCAAAAGAAAGTCATGTGGTTTGGATTACATATACATTTATTTTTATGATTTCCTGCTGCTAGTTAAAAGTCCTTGGTATCAATAGGAACATCAAGGTATCATAACAACAATTAAAACACTGTAATCAATCCCTGTAAGATTAAAATGGCAGCTAGAACTATGAGGTTTCTAGGGGCCTCATGGACACACACAAAACCATCCTCTTTCGACCATTGGTTCTTCCCTTTTCAGGTCCTTGAATGCCACTCCACTTTCCTCAATAATTTCTGTGTCGCATCATGTATGAGGCATTTGCTGTGATCTGGATGGAGGAAGTTGTTCACAATTAAGCAACACCAGGTTCTGACAATAACTACTAGTCCAAGGGCATAGGCTGATGTTTGGCTATGTTCACACACACGGCGTAAGGCTGGCTTAAGCCTGGCGTAGCGTACGCCTTTGTGTGTGAACTAGGCAGTGGCGTTGTTAAAGCCACTCACTACGCCACGTCCTTGGCGTTATTAACGCTACCTGCAGACCCCAGATTAGCTAACGCCACTGAGCTAACGCCAGTGATGCTTGAATGATTTGACCTCATTTCAAGAGATTGACCAATCACGATTGCAATATATTCGCTACTTTGGTCTCTTTTCTGTGCTCTCTATAAATGAAATGGTAAAGGGGTTCCTTTTCTATTGCATTTTACTTAGTTATAATGTATATGATTTATTGATTGTGTTTTGTAAGATATTTTAACCATTTAGACTGTCTATTAAAACAAGCAACATTAACAATGCTAGCTGAAAAATCAAAAGTAAATTGTTCATTTAAAATACAATAATCATATAGGCCTAAGTTCACTTCGAACAATTCACAGATTTAAAAGTTTTCATGATGCACTGTTAATTTTAATAATGTTAACACGTACATTATTTAAAACTGAAAACTATTCCACACCAGATAGGCCAATATTACTGCTAGTGCAACGAACGCCGTTTGTGTGAACACTTTGGAATTTTAATCCGTGGATTAGCTTACGCCTGGCGTAAGCCACGCCAGTCTTACGCCGTGTGTGTGAACATAGCCTATGTCTCGCAGAAGGAGAGGCTACGAAAATGGCCTTGGGGTACAATCAATTAAGAATGATGAACAAAATCCCTATTCCAATTAATGGTCATATTTAGAATTTTAACTCACTTAGTGAAAATAATTTGCAATCATGGGGGGGGGGGGGGATGCAGACTCCCACACCGTCCAGCCTAACCCTAAGTAGTCAAGGCCTCAATTGGTACTGTAGACTAGTTTTGTTTCTACCACAAGCAAATAACACTGACCTTGCTGTACCTGCTGTAGTAGTTAAGGTGTTATACACGGAGTGGTACTGACTGACACCGGTTGTGTACGGCAGGTATTCTACTCCAACATAATATTTAGTATACGGTCGCATGGGTGTAGGCTTGGGGAATGTAGATGCAACCCCCCCCCCACCCCCTCCAGATAGGGATAATTAGTTCCACTGATTGGGTTAAAATACTAAAAATCTAAAAATTACAAGATTTCAAGTTAAACACATCTCAATGTCCTTTTAGTAAGTTTAGTGCGTGGTAGAATATTCATAATGAAACATAGTTTCAGGGAAAAACAAAGTGATCATTTCCAGCAAATTTAGTTATCAATATAAGAACTTATGACATATAATAAATTTGGCTAGCCTTGAGGCGAGTATGTATCGCTAGACCAAAAAAACCATTGTCAGATTTGAATTAAAACAGGGGATGTAATTGGAAATATGTGCCTTTACATTTGAGAAAAAACTTGAGGCTGGGTGTTTTAAACAGACAAGGCAAAAACAAAGACAATAAAACATTTAAAAAATTATAAAAATAGAAAGGGCAATAGTTACTTTGCAAAATTTCAATGAACAATTCCCAGTTGCTAAAAATCGGGATGTCTTCATCGTAGACTTGATTGTCGACATAGACTGCAGCAGGGTTCTTCCAGCTTTTCTTCCGTAATCGCAACCTATGGGAAAGGGAATAATAAAAGTATCATGTGCTCCTGATTTCTCATTCGTTTTCTTGTTATACTATATTTATAGCTGTCTCTTATACACATCTAGATGTGTATAAGAGACAGACCCAATCCATAGCGAGGCTGTGATGGATAAATACTTGTGACAGCAAAGTCCCATTAACTTTAGCATAGTGTTACTACGAGGATTAGGAAAAGGAGCTGTTTATGGCTGTGAACAAAAATTCTTGTCACTTGACACGATTTGAGCCTAGAACTCGGGATTGGAAGGCAAGCATCTTAACCACCAAACTACAGACAGCTATTCATCACTGTTATTTTATTAAATCATTTTTATGATAGTAATTTAAACATCGTTACAGAAATGTTAAAACAAATATTAAAATCCTGTTTAAATTGAAAGAATATCATTCCTGGTTTTATAAGATTTTTTTTTTTTTTTTTTTTACCTGTAGTAGATAACAGCACCATCATCTGTAATGTAAAGTGGCCAGGAATTAAGAGTTGTTACTTGTGGATTCCACTCCAGGTCTGTCTGCATCTCCAGGAGTGAAATCTCCGATGGGAAAGCACCACGTCCTTTTGCAAAGTCTATGCAATCAGCTGGTAAACCACTGACATCACTAACCTGTCAATAACATGGCAACAAGAGCAATATCAACAATATGTCATCTCATCCAAGTCTATTATAAAACAGAATTTTAAACAGAAAATCCAATATATATATGAATTGCTGATTTAAAAAAATTATAACTAAAAATTAGAAGAGTTTCTTCAACGATTGAAATATACAAATCTTGTAGTTATTGCATATATTTTAGATGTGTGACTTATTAATACAGTAGAACCCATATTTTAAGGGGACACTTTCTGGCCAAAAAGTGGGGTTGGTTATAGACATACTTTCCTTCATTCTGTGGCCGAAATACAATAATAGGGGGTCCCCTTATTAGGGGTGTCCCAAAGCAAGGGTTCTACTATAGCTGATAAGTTTGTTTGCTTTATTCGGTACTCAAAATTCACAAAGAACCATGACAAAATACCAGGATAAACCATAAAGCTGAAGAACAGCTTAATTCCAATGGGGTCCTATAAACAAGCAATATTTCATGAATAAAAACAATAAAATATAAATAAATAATTAAATAAATAGATAAAATAAATAAATATCTACATATAGCCTATATATTGATTTTCTTTAGAACAAATATCCATGTACTCAAAGTTTTTCATTTAAAAAAAAATGTGTATCTATAATATAACTCCAGGGCATTATATTGTCATCTCAATTGCTAAGCAATGCATGGTATATAGGTCTCCTCTCATTGGATTTCATAATTTAAGAGCTGATATAAAGAGCCATTGGTGCGTTACCATATGGCATTGTTATATATAGTAAATCCTGGATTCCATAACATCGCTACATGCTTTCGTCGACGACTTTCGGCGACGCTCGGTCGAATTCGGGAAGCCTTCTTCCCGATGCAACGCTTGCAGTGGAAATCACTGTAGCAACAGTGTATATAGCGAATTTATTGCAAAAAGGCCCGGAACAAGGCTTAACGATCGCAACCAGAAGGGGCCTTGATTTTGTGTATTGTTACTGATACTTTTAATATACTGTATTTGATTTTATTCTTATACATATGCACTTTCCAATGTTGTGAATTCTTGTCTCGCCTCCCCAACTTGGGGGTCTTTTTAGAATAAATTACAAGTCGAATTTTGAATAAATTTACATCCAGTCGCCGACACGACTTTCGCACAGGCCGCTGGGATTCTACAATGTAGGACTACGGGCACAAGTAAAGTGTGAAAAGCTGCTGTTATTTTACTTACTTGTCTACTCGTGGGCCTAATTGCAATTCCCAAACACCATCAATTACATTTGGCTTACCTAAATTAGAAGCATTTAGGGCCTTAACAGCACTTTAGTCGTTAATAATCGTTAAATATAAAAGCTTAAAAAGACGTACACAAGTAAACGTAGGCACAGCGGTCACCTAAATTTCCATTTTTGTACAATAAGTCATTAAAGTTGATGGATGCGTTGTTGATCGACGTGCAGGCAGACAGACAAACAAGAGGTGGGTCATGTCCTGAGAGAGGGGAGAAGCAGAACATTGTGTTTTAAGTGCGTCTCCGTCGGGATTCCATCGCCTTTCAAGGAAGGAGCTACGTGCGTAAACGTAACCACAACTCGTTTACTTCACGCAACGGAATCAATACACTGCGTGCTGCACGTTGGCCTATGCATGATGCATGTAATATAATGACGTCATAGACCTTACTTTATTGATATGTTTAAACATTCGGGGAAAAAAGGCTTGTAGGCCTATTACATAACAAATTATTAATTTTCCATTGAACACCCGCTGGCTCCATCATCTGAGGATAAGGCTATACCCCACACTCATTTGCACAAACATGAACTTTTTCACCGTTGGTATACGGATAGTAATAATAGGGGACGTAGGCCCCTATGGAAGAAAATTAACAATGACGTCACCAGAACAGTCACCGTTTTCACGTTAATTAGATTGATTGATTGATTGATCGATACAGTGGTTGTGTTGGGGATTCTCAACCCTGAGGTCAGGGATTCGCTTGTGTCCTTGGGAAAGGCACTTTATATTTACGTTTGTCTCCACCCACGATGTGAATGTTTGACCAAAATATAATAAATTAGGTTGTAAACTCTTTACAGTAGTAAAGTAATAGACCTACCTTCTTTACATTGTGAAAGTCGCTATATATCTTCAACATATCCAGCCAATACCAGCTGTGTCGTATCTAGGAGTATTGACGTAAAGGGATGGAGGTGTGTTGGGTGTGTCGGGGAATCGGTTTGGCGCGAAGTTTAAGTGGGCGGGCCGCAGGGCCTAATGATTAAGTGAGATGCATTAGCTGGCACGAGGTGAAATGAGACGAGATTTAAGTATTTGAGAGTATTCTTTTTTGCTCAGCAAATTATCAGTGTGTGCTCAATTGTTTTCGCCCGGGGATGCGATCCCCTCCCCCACCCCTTGATGGCCATAGTCAATATCCACATAGTCATCACCCACGTCCACAAATCGTTTTGAAAATTGATGATTGAACAGATTCCCGGGAGTAGAATTGTCTTTAGAGTAGACAATCTATAAATTGCACTGGGCCATTTAAAAGGCAAGCAACCCAAAAAATCAACACCCGTATTTAGCTATCGTTCAAGTTCACATTTCGTAGACTTGTGGCCTCGTACATCATCATAAACGTCAATTAATTCAAGTCCAGGGGGTAGTTTCTGAGTGGTCAGATCACCATTCACGGATTTCATGTAAACTAAGCAAGTAGAATTAGCTTATTTCTTGCTCTACATCGACCGTAAAATACAATGTTATATTACTATACAGTCATTTGTTATATCAGTGTATAATCATTATGATGATCATAATCATTATCATGATCATCATCTTTAAACATCACTGTCATTGCCATCTTCGGCATCATCGCTAACGCCACCGTCATCATCATTATATTGGCACATGGATTAAACATAGGCAATATAAATCATATCACTGTCATCAGCATGTGCCACACACATGGCAGAATGTAAACGTAATTTTATACATCCATGGTTAGACTGACCACGCATAAGCTAAATTAAATCTTACTTGAGGCTGTGCACTCCAAATGATTGGATTCATCAGTATAAACACGATTGACCCATAGGTCCAAAGAATTCCAATGGGGTACTTTTGGTGGTGATTGAGGACTACACAGGGGACAATCCATTACTCCTTTCCTAAGGGCCTGTTTCTGCTAAGAATAGAATTCCGGTTTCAAGACCAGTATTCTCAAAGATCCGTATTTTCTTGTCAGTGGAAATGGGTCCCATAAAATTCAAATACTGGTTTTGAAAACCCCAATTGAATCTGATCTCGATCGCCGAATACCGTACTCAAACCCGTATTCACCGAGCAATTTTTAGCTGCAACGCAATAGCGGTCTCAGTTTGACCACAAGTTGACCTGACCTAGCAAACTGTCAAATGGTTATCGGAACATAAACAACTCTCATTTTGGCGCGAAGTGTGTATTTTAATTTTTTAATTTAGCAAACGTACCAGTAATGTCGGGCGTAATTTGGACCGACGCCATCACAAGACTAGTGATTAATCTGTTGGAAGGGGGGGGGGGGGAGATGAGGGGGAGGCTAGCCGGCTGGCTAGCTCGCCTAACGAACTCGCTGTGGGTAAAAATGACGTCTTGCACAACGACCTCCTTAGGAGAAACCGGTTTCTGTTCGTGTTAAAATTAAACTGCAATGCGGTTTTTTTTATAAACAATTATGAAAACCAGTTTCACTGAATACCGTACTTTTGTATTTTGTCAGTAGAATTAGGCCCTAAGAGTGTACTGCATTCTTTAATGTGCACATGGGCTTTATATTTCACATAGGACCAATGGCTTAAACCTCTAATCCGAAAGACGGTGCGCTATCAAAAACCTGATTTCAAAGAGCAGTGGTTATTCTCCTTCTATTTCCTATACCGTATCCACGAAGATATAGGCCTACACCTCCCTCGCTCACTTTCACCAAAATACTGGAAGCATAAATTTGTAATTATCATCAAAACTGTCACTCATTCATCACTCACTTGGCAAGTCAATAAAAATGCAAACGACAATTTGTATTTCATGCAAAGAAATAGAACATTTTAATGTTCGTGGTGTTTCTTGTACTTACATCAACAACATAACCTTTTTTTACATAAAACGAGTAACTTAAGCCATGGCATCTCTATGCCCAGGGCATGCACATCTAGGCCTATACAACACTATTTTCTGACATTTAGGCTATATTTAAGGCACCGGGAAAAACAGAGCATTACTTCGCCACAATGCGGGCCATCTTTGCGATTCAACTGACCTTTATTTGCGACTAGATGCCGGTATGTAATGAAGAGGGGCTGTCTGGTAGGCAGTATGTACAGGCAAGCAGTTATATAGTGTATGTACAGTACTTATACTGTTCTCATAGACTTCTTAAGATCAAACCCAAATGGAAATACAAAACATCACATCTTAAATTACACAACACTACTATGATATCGCTAGCTTTTAAAAATATAAATAAATATATGTATATAAATTTGAAGACAAACAGTGAAGAACACAAATCTAAAATAAAAACAATTATTGGATAAACAAACACGATTGTTGGCTATTTTTCCCCTTGACAAATATTTCCCCTAAACTTACTAATCATTTCTTATGTTCCACTGTTTTCTGTTAACTCAGAAAACAATAAATAAATTTGAAAATGAATGTTGCAATAATACACTTACATATTTTAATGGGGTTCGCTAGTAATGTTTAAAAATATAATTCCTATTATATTGATGAATAGCACAATTAACCAACGTTAAAACAATGAAATGTAATCCAAAATATGAATAATTATCAAGAGTGTTGTAACATATTTGATTGAATGATTATACAAAATAATGTGGGAAGGGGGAAAGTAAACGCAGCAGTTATAATTCAATGCTATTATTGTGTCTTAATGCCAGGAAGTAAGAGCCTGTTATCTACATAATACTTTTATTCATTTTTAATATTTTTGATTTATTTCTAACAAAGTTCAGTTTTAGCAAATTTCAGTTTTTATTTTAATTTTGTTTGATAGTGCGTTTTTCTCGGCGCCACAACAGAACACTCTTTTACTTGAATGCGTTTACCCTGTTGAAGTTGGTTAATATTTTATATCGTTTGGTTGCAAATGATTTAATTTATTCAATCAGCGCTGAATATTCATGAGTGAATTCTCCTGAGGAATTAGAGGAGGTTGCATGTGGCATAGTTACTGTTCTTGCTGTAACAAACCATTCCATGAAAAGTGCCATATAAATGGCATAAATCATTATTATTATATCATTATTAGTAGAATGATTATATAACATCATTATTATTATTAGAATGATTAATTAACATAATTATTATTAGAATGTTTAATTAATAAGGTTTCAACATCAGCCGATTAATGTTTGTTACAATTTTACCACAAATCAAATAACTGAAAGATCAGATGCACTGTAATTTCATATTACTGTACTACATAAAAATTAATAATCAAGTGCTAAAATACACAAAGTTAGAGGCAGTCAGACACATTCTATGTGACAATCCCATGTTTCATTCAATTTTTTCATCAACAAATCACCAAAGAGGATGTTCAGTGTGCCCTGTCTCTTATACACATCTAGATGTGTATAAGAGACAGTATATATACAATTATATATGCACTTTTTCCTAGTCATTATTAAATAAAATTAACCATATTATTATTATTTATAATATATTCATAAAAGGGGCATCCATAAAAAGGGGCATCCGGTTCCATTCATATTATGTTTTTTTTAGTTTTAGATTTTCACTCTCTACTGTTTAGTACCATATACTATGCCCAACCAATAAGGTACAAAAATGCAAAATATAATCTGACCTAAAGATAGATCCCAGAAAAACTGCATATTCTTAAGATCAAATTTATAAAATTTTATTAAAACAAAATGAATATTTTTCTGGGACAAGTGTAGGTTGGTGGGTTGTGTTGTTGATTGTCAATACACTGTACTAATTTCCTCTTGCAAATTCCCAATTGCAGAATGGAGTGTTTATTTTCACACAATGAAAAATTATAATTTGTATAATAATGAGCTAACAATTTCAAAAACAATGATAGCTCTTGCGAGAGCTGCTTTTACTAGGTGGAACAGTTCAATCAAAAGTTGAATATTTCATTGATAAGAGGGAATATTTGTTCAAATTGATTATCTGGGAGTTTCATCTGCATAATATCGCTAATGTGTCGCGTCACCACTTCTCGTACGTCGGTCAACTTCATGATCAACTTTGCGAAGAGGAGCTTGTCATCAGGATGCGTGATTTTACATAAGTTCTGTAACGTGATTACCATCGGCCTCTGAATTTCTTCTATCTTTTCTTTCTGCCCAAGATCTGGGCGATCTGAGGGCAAAAAAAAATGTATATATATATATATAAATCAATGTATAATATTCTAGGCATCTCTTCTTTTCATCCGTATTCTCAGCTAACATATTGCCACTCATTATAAAAAGTATAGGCCTACAGTTGTTGAATTTTAGTGGGGGAAAAATTAGGGTATCCCTGGTGTAGGCTGGTATCGGCCTTGGAGATGCGAAAAATGAGAATGCGAAACTTAATCTCCACCTAATGGTCATTTTTAGTATTTTAACCGAATTATTGGAACAAATTTGCTGCCATAGGGAATCCCACACCAAAACCTGTCCCATAGGAGTTTTGACAATTTTCAGGTGAGGCTAGTGTGGCTACCAGGCACAGATCAGAATGCAGAGGTAAATTCTTGTGAGAGATCAAAGGGGATAAGCCTATAGAAACTGCTATATTTAGAGGCATTTTAAGTTGTTCTGAAATGTTTTAGTTTATGCTTCCCTAACATTCATCCAACCCACAACCAGTCTCTTATACACATCTAGATCCCTCCACTTAGACCAGGCATGTTACCAAATGTTTTCAACAGACAATGTTTGATCATACAAACATGTTTCAGACATCTGATCACACTACTGTAATCATCAAAACACAGATGGCTGGAGGTGTAGTCTGGAATCATTGAAGAAGTTGGCAGATTGCCAAGGAAATATTACACATATCACTCTTGTCTTATTTTTTTTGGTTCAACATAGAAAAAAAATTGTAACAATAATTAATGTTCTTATTTTTATGTGATGTAAAAAACAGAGCCTTAATGGAAATAAGTCCTCTTGGTTATCATCTGTTCACTCATTGGTTCATTTAAAAAAAAAAATTGTCCAAATTGTGTAAAATACATACCAGGGGAAATAATGGCTATAGCCTGCAGTAACGCATATTCTTCTTTGGTGAGATTCATAGCGTTGACTGCTTGAACAAACTTCAGCGTAGGCTCAGCTGAAGTCCCGAAACCCGACGACATCATTGCGTCGTAGCTCCATTCGCTCCCAGTAATATCATCAACAACAGCATTCTTTTCGGGATTATAACATTCCGCACACCTCAATATTAACACCTCGAGAATTGCATTTTTAATTAAAACGGCCTGATCCTCATACGTCAAATCTCGGAACATTGGTATTCCTTTTGTAAATGCTACAGTCTGACGAATAACACAGCCCATTAAAGTCATGTTGTATAAAAGTGAATCGGGATGGCCTCTCATGGCAGTGGGCATATTTGCGTCATAATCTGCAGGACTGCTCATATCAAAATTGATTTCAGTGTGCCCTATGACCTCTTGCTTTACCGGGATTGCAGGTTGATGGTGTCCATTGAAGTTATTAAAGCCCGGTGGTATTATATTCGTAACATCAACATCATTGATAATACCGTCCTCCCCTGACACTGATAGGTTCAAAGGGCAACTTTGTGCATTTGGAAGTCGCATACCCTTATCCTCGGGTTTACATCCATTAAAAGGAAAACCCTTTATTCCAAAACAAGAATTTCCATTGCTACTTCTGCTTCCCAGGTCTAACGATGTCTTCATTCTTTCCAGAATCTCATCAAATCGGCCACTAGGCTGAAACAGAAATTAGAAAATGGATTTTTAAGAACATTGACGTCATAAAGATAATAACTGTCTGTCTTTTGAGCTATTGCAAGTAATATTTGCCATCAATTGAAAATATGAGAAGCAGAAAATAGTTTACTTGCTAACTGTTTTTTTACTTATTTCATAATCTGTAAATCATCGGGAGTGGTCTCTTAACCAAGGTCGGGGTTCAAACCTTCGCTGTGCAATATGCCTATGTTCTTGGACAAGGCACTTTATCTACGTTCGCCTCTCTCCACTAAAGAGTATAAATCCGTACACGGTTCACTAATGGGGAAGAAAAGGCGGCATGAAAAGGAACTGCCCTCACTACAACACAATGCCGCGATGTGCTAACAGCTCATTCCCATAGGTTCAGTAATGAATATGGGACTTTTTAACTCATTGTAAACTGAATTGTTTTTATATTACGCTAGATGATATTTCAAATTAGCAATTAAATATTTTAATTTAAGTTTTTGGGGTTTCCCATTCACAGTAAAATCTTTATACCATTTGAAAATCTTCTTTGATAGTAGTGAAATTACAAAACATTTCTAAAACTTACAAATTATTATAGGTTTACAAAAAATCTTCATTGAAAACCAATAGAATTATTATACCAATAATTATATAATAATAATAATAATAACAATAATAATAAGCTGGCACTAATAAAATGATAAATTAGTGGCAAATTGCTTTTAATATATAAAACTTTATATTTCACTTACTTGATGAACTTTATTTGATGCTTTTGCAGCATCTTTTGCTTTTTCCAGACAGCGAACTAATTCCTCTTGATAAGGCAACAACTTGGGAGATTTTTCGTCTGTCACTGGTAGTAAGGGGTTGACTGGTCCTTGACTGGGCTGCGGTGGTGACGTCTGCTGCTGGGGTTGTGGTTGCTGTTGTAGTGGCTGTTGTTGGGTTTGTTTCTTTTTGTTTTTTCGTTCCAGTGGTTTACGTGTTTCTAGTCGCTTTTCATCCCATACACCTACAATACACACAAACCAGAAGGCGATATTACTTTATAGCCATAGAGTACACATCAGAAATTGATTTTAATCTTCTGCATTAATACCCACTAGCATATATCCATGCCAGCTTAATGCACTATGGCATTGCGGAAGAATAGCCATAATGATCCGACCCCGATTCAAGAAGGAGAGAGAGAGAGACGGTAGGCCTTAGCTAACTAAGCTAAACATGAACCTAGGTCTGTCTCTCATCATAGGCTAGGCCTGTAGGGCTAGCCCAGTATGATTAGGCCAAGCTTATACCATGGCTTGTGCCAAGATGTATCTTTATTTTTACCTGATCGATTTCTAAAACATGCTATTTATTGCTGATGTTTTGAGCCTAATGGAATGGGTACTCGGAAGTGGTACGGGAACATGCTGCTCACTCATTTTGTTGACGTGTGATGAGAGAGAAGCACTGCGCGGAAACTTAACGTAATGAAGCTGCAAAACATAGACTGGTTCTCTTACGGCCTGCCGTGATTTTTTTAGACCTAAGCACTGTGGTACAGAATAGATGGGGTACTGTATTTACGTGACGTAAACCACCGTTCCGCAACCTATGGGTCACGAACCCAATTGATGGGTCGTATAATCTCTTCAGATCGTGAAAACTTTACTTAACACGAACGAAGACAAAGGAAATTAAATTACAGTAAACGAAAGTACAATTTAAGTGTGACTTTTGTTATGCGTGCGTTACCACAGTTTTATGTTAAAAATATACTATCAAAACATTTGTACCTCAGGTATGACAACCTTAAAGTATTAGTTTTGTTCATTTCAATGTGTTAGGCTTTCAGCTGCAAATTATAATGAGAAAACATTTTTAAATTTAATGTGTCTATGACTCCACATACCCATAAATCTCTGGCAGCTTAGGAATTTATAATAAAATGTCTGTTAATCATTAATTTTTAAAAGTCTTTAACTTGTTGAAAAATTTGGTAACTTACGTGATTTTGTTAAATGAGTAATTCAAAGTAATATATTCATTTTTATGGGTTTTACATAGTGATTTTGTTGGTGATAATATATAATATTTTAATCAATTCATATAAGAATCAAGTGGGTGTTCTTCCCACTATCCCTCACACGTATAAAACGACGGAAATTTTATTGACTTTGAGTTTCGATGGGTCACGTCAGAGTGCTTGACATATAGGCTAATTTGGTTCGTGGGCTAAAAAGGTTGCGGAACGGGGATGTAAACAACTTGCAAAACATGACGAAACAGGTACTGATTTTCGGTAGTTTTTTCGTTGTTATATCCAACATCCAGCCAAGAAAAGGAGCGGAATGTGGTCGTGACATATAGAAACCCCAGTGTGTGAGATATGAGCACATTCCTTCCAGCGGTTTCAGAGGAGATAGGTGAACTTACACCAGGGCATTAGTAGAATTAATAGATACAAGGAAATGTTTATTTAATGTACTAATTGTTTCTCATCAACCACAATTATATTTGCAGTTGCTTAGGTCTAAGTATTTTACGAAGTGGTCCGTCTAGACATCTGTAACAACTCCACGCTGAGTGATCAACAAGAAGCACAAGCCCGCAACGCGTACAACCATTGTTAAGATGTTTGCCCTCCAATCCCTGGGCCAAATCCTACAATGTTGATGGTGTGGAACTGTGGCTTGGTTAAGATGCTTGCTTCCAATTCATGGGTTCAATTCCTGCCAAAGTAACTGAAGTTTTCCATGACCAAAGCTCGTAATGAGACTTAAGTTTATGTAGAGCATCTTGTGTTGTGTGTATGATTATTTTGGAAAAGGGATTGCCACTTAGAAAGTAATTAGGTTCTAATTGGAGATATATCTTAAGAGTAAATCTAGTATGGATTTAACTCTGGACACTGGTACAGTATTAAAAAGTAAGCACTCATACCATACCTTACTACCTTGTAACTTATTTTTTACAGTTAATTTTTAATCAGTGACATGTATGATTAACAGAGCAGGAATAATTTCTGTGCTATTGTTCTCTGTGAGTAAACAGTCAAAAGCTCACAAATAATAATATTATATATTATTAAAAATTAGTCAAAATTTAGCCTTGCTGAACAGGGCTGCCTTATCAAATACGGTGAATATATAAACAAAACAAACGAGTAAGACAGTGAGAAAAAATGATTTGTTGCAGTTCCAATTGGAGTTAATGCATTTTGGCTTAACTAACACAGTATACAAATGAATAACATGCTAGTAACTCATAGATAAAGCCAAAGATAAAATATTACTTGGTTATTTGTAGAGGTAATATGGTCATTCTCGGAATTATATCATTCAGATAAAACACTAGATCCTCCCTACATTACATTTACATTTGGGATGACAAGATTATAACACAACTTCTCCATCCATGCATTTTCTCAATAATTTTTCCACTTCACATTTCCTACACAATTTTCCCCCGGTTATGATAATGTATAATCCTATAGGTTGTGCGAAATTCACCGGGCAGATGGTTTGCGATAACATTTAAATCCAAGCCAATGGCTTTGGATTCAGGATTTCCAAGTAGTTGTATAGAATCTAACTGTTCGAATTATACAGGAACTGCCTAGCCCTACAGAGTGTGAAAACAATCATGACAACTACCACCATTCAACAAGAACCAAAAGTTAAAAAGTTCAAGGATATGAGTCCCTATTCTTAATATAAGCAGAGAGATATAACACAAGGTAACCAAAGGCTCTGTCCAGACTACTTAATTTTCTTTGACACTGTATGCCCATATATAGTCATGATGTGCCTACATATGGTCATGGTATGATGTCATCATTATCATATTTAGGCAATAAAATTTGATAGTCTGGACAGGACTTAGGACAGGAATTAAGACAGGTAAAAAAAATGTCCGCATTTCACATGCCAGTAAGACCTGACCTATCACAGGGTTTTAGATCAAAATGTAGATTTTTAAAACAATCAATTACATTTATTGGTATAATCCCAATAAGCATAATATTCCACACTGAAAAACCCATGACCTAGGTAAGAGGTCAGTAAAACAAAGAGTTCCAAGGTCAAACTATCTTTGAATATTCATGAGTATTATGAGTTGATATAAATATTAGCCCTTGTTTTATTTTACCTAATGTTGCTACTGTAATTCTTTGGCAAACAGATCCAGAAATGAATTTTTTTCTAAATCTGTAGAATAATGTGCCTAGCTGCTATGTTATTTTATAATGGTTACTGATTAATTATATGCTCTTAAAAATCCAATGATATATATAAAAATGGTAATTTTCCCCTTTCACATCTAACAGCAAGTATACTCTTTCAAAAAAAAATCTCATTTCGAGCCTAAGGGAGTAGATTTTTCTTCCTGAAAAAAAAAATCCTTGTAATCAGAATGTCAGATTCAATATTGCCCATTATACTTCCTTCAAAATCATTAGCATATTGGCTTAAAATAAGAAATATATTCGTACCTTGACCTTTTAATTTAAAAATATAGTTTACATTTACATTAGCAATGATCTATAAATACAATTTATTCGTTAGGTTTAAATCCTTAAATTAACAAAGTATTCCCAACAGGTTAAAAGCCAAGGCCCTGCGTGAATTCCCAACACAAGCCACAATCGACCATCCCATGCTCCTACCATCACATGCTCCTGACGGATGAACCTGGATGCTTGATTTTAACCATTATTTCATGGCATTGGACACACATTTGACACGAATCTCTTTTGGGAATGTGCTGGCTATAAGGTTTTTTTCTTCTTACAAGTGAGTCATTGGAACAGTGCAAGTATTTGGGTAATTCAACATTGGCTGCTGTTAATATCAGTACTCTATTAATTTTAGTTTTCCTTTTTTTGCAGCATGCAGTAGAACTCCTATTAACCCTCTAGATACCGTCTTCGACTGTAGTCGAAATTGACCTCAAACCGAGAATTCCCATTTTCGACTGCAATCAAAATTTAGTGACTAAAAAATAGGTGGTTTTCAAATCGCTCTTCTGTTTTTATTTTAGCTCCAATACGTAGAAATTTTGAACATGCATGCGTGAAGTTTTTTTCTTTCAAAATCTGTGAAGAACTCACATGCGCTTATATAAAAATGTTTAGAAATATCAATTTTAAATTGTTATGAATTTCGAAAATTTTCCGAAATGGCTGTACAAGATGTGTACCCAGCTGAGGAAGCGATTGACCTGATTTTTTATTCAGACAGCGATGAAAGTGAGTTTTTAGATGTGCGAGACTTAGACGTGCCTGATAGCGATGATGACGGTGGGGCTTCAAGCAGTTATGACGGCGGAGATGTTCTTGATGAAGATGAGCCTAGGCCTAGAAATGTGAGGGTGGTCGTTGCTTTTGAATGGAAAGATCGTGCTTATAGTTATGGAAGGTTGGGTAAATAAATTATATAACTGTGTGGAATAGGAATGTTTTATATATTTTTTTTTTTTTTTTTTGGCTACAATTTTTTTTTTGGTTTTTGCTGACGATTTATATGTAGCATTTTTCTGTCATTTCTATTATATTATATATATTATATTATATTATATTATTAAAAAAAAATCCTAAAAATATAAATTATACATCAAATGAAAGCTTATTCTATAAGCTTTCTTTGTTTTTGAAACATTTTTCTGTATAATTTACAGAAAGTTCCCAAAAATCCACCAGAACGACGTATACTCAAAAAACGCAAAAAACCTAGCTACACTGCAAAAGAATCCGGTATTCAAGGGTTTGCACTACAAAAGAATCCGGTATCCATAGGGTTAAGGAGACACTTTCTGGGTAAAAAAAAGTTCCCCTTAATAGGGGTGTCTCATGGGGAGGGGGTGGGGGTTCTACTGCATCCTTTATAATTAAATAAAGAACAAGTTAAACATACACTAAAGAACAATAACATTTGCTGTTTGATTTGCCATTATTATGAACCTTTAAATTTTTAATGTTTTAATTGATTTTAAAGGTGTCCAGGTTTGGCCCAGCAGGCCTATATC